TTTCCTCTACTCCCAATTTAAACTGTTTTGGTTAAGTTTGGCTAGGTTAGGTTCCACTCTTTTGCAGTTTTAATTGAAGACAAGAGGACGTGAAAATATAAAAAAACATCAATACTGCTCAATGAGTATTTACACGTCTTCAATAAATTTCATATCTATTGCTAACGAATGGAGAAAAAAATCTTGCTGAAGTGGCGTCAAGATGGCTATGCTATGCCACGCTGTTATCATGTGAGTCTCGGCACACCACGAGTTGCAATTTATCCTCTCTTATAACAGGGAGGGCCACAACAACGAGAATGAATAAATATTTGTGTAAGCGCAAATTCTTGTCTAAATTTAAGGTTTGAAAGCTTTAAGGTTTACTTCTGTCCAACCAGTTGTGTTGAGAATTTTAAGATGAATTTTGAAAAGAATTTCCATAGTGTGCATAATAAGCATAATTAAGTAATTTCAATCATGAAAAAGCTAAGAACAAAGCTATATACAGACAATATTTTTGCAAGCTCTGTCAAAATTCATTTTGATTTTAACTAGTGTGATAAAAGCAAATTTGTAGCACATTTCATGCACATAAGTTTTTATAATCAAAACCAAGCTTAACCTTTCCAACAACAAATCCATTTATTCAAAATACACTACTGCAAGCGTTGTGGGAATTATATATATGCATATATAAGACCTATCAGACAATTAAAAATTATATAAAAGTTTCAATATACCTAGAATTTGCATTACATAGGGAATTATTTATTCCAATTTCAATTGCATATATGTAGTAACAGCACAACCTATTGTTTATTGAATCCATTCCGCAATGTAAGCTTAATAATATCTGGAAGGTTTCTGATAAGGCTTTGTTCAGTCCTGTGCATTTGCCTCATTTATTTATTTTTTGATTGAAAATTTTATTTCGGCAACTCTATTTTATTACAATGCCTTCATTTAGTTTGCTTGAGAATTTCTTCAATCACAATTTTTTACAATTAATTTAGTTTATTAAAACAAATTTAGTTCATCATATTACAGCCAGGCTCGCGGTCTACAAGTTTCAGTGAGCCTAAAATATCTCCCAAACTAATAAACGCAGCTAGATGAAACTTTGCATGCATCTTCTCTAACGTTGATGTTTAGGTCGTGATTATTTTTTAATTGCGCCTTTAATTAAAGGTACCTACATGAAAAGCCTGTTCATGAGGCTAAGAGATATGTTAGGCTCGCTGCAAATTTAGAACCATAAAAGGCGCTACAAAGGTGAAATTGAAAAAAATGATCATGACCTAAACATCACTGTTTTTTGAACATTTGCTAAGTTCATTAGTTTGGGAGATATTTTTGGCTTAATGAGGAAAATTAATTAATGCGGGAAAGAAGTGAAAAAAATTATCATATATCACATTCATGTCATTTAGCACGTTTTGATCATTTATCGCAATTATATCATTTATCACTTTCATATCATTTTTAATGTTCACGTAATTCATCACATGCATATCATTTAGCTCATTCAAATTATTTATAGTGTTCATATCATTAATCGTGCTCATATCATTTTTCACATTTGTATCATTTATCATGTTCATATTATTTATCACATTCATATCATTTATTGTGTTTATATCATATGTCGCGTTCATATCATTTAGCATGTTCATTTGCTCGAGGGCATTGCTAATGAATAGTTTTGTTTGTAATTTGGTAAAGATCGCTTTTAATTTCATAAAATAATGCTTGGAAAATGTGCCATGAAAATTTGTCATGTAAGTTTATCTTAAAAATTTGTTCACAAAGTGTCGGATCAATATATCATTTTCAAAAAAACCCTCAACACAGTGTTTGCTCTAAATCAGGAATTAAATAGAAAGCGAAATCCAGAAGGGAAACCCGGATAGGCAAGCACATGAACGTCCCCCTGCTATGACAAACGCGCGAGTTATTTCTTTTCTGAACAAGCGAACGTAAGCTAAATCTGAACTGAAAGTCCGAACAGCAAATCAGAGCTTGATGCCTGTTGTCGATATATGTGTTGCCAGGTGCAGCCAGCAGTATGTTTTGAACTGGCGCCGCGTATGGTTGTCTATGCATGTGCTTCCAGTCATGCATTGTCGTCTGCCTCGGATCTACTAGCCCGCACTAGCGTATGAGTCAGAGGTGTGTGGTGCGTAAAAACTAAGATTTTTTGTTAACTGAGTTTAATGTATTGAATTATGATTGTTTAAAATTCGCGTTCATAAATTTAGTCTGCAATGCATAGGCTTAATTTGCATTCAGAAATGGGATGTTTACCCTTAAAAATAAACGTGTTCTCGATTGCCACTATGGTCGGTACAGTCATGAATATTTATTATTCATAGATCACATTTTGGTTGGAAATGAATTACAAAACTGAATAGTAGAAGACAACAATCCACATGGGCCATGGCTTGAGAAGTTGAGAATTGAGACTGGTGCCATCTAATGAAGGACTGATTTTGGCAACTAGTGCAAACCTGAATGTCAATGTCGAGAATACGTTACATTCCCGACATCCTCCTGGCTGGTGAAATAGGTTTGAGTGGTGCAAACCCATTGAATACAAAAATACAGGCACCGCAATTATTATTTTTTGATTATCAGTTCTTATTTTTTGTAACTTTGAAGCTTAATTATATAGGCAGTGCATAATGGCATTTGAATCCGTAGGTATTTGCCAAGTGAGTGACGGCTCATTTTTATTACTAAAGATGTGGTATTTGTATTTCTTTAATATTAAAAACATTCTTTCTTTTACTTATATTATAAATAACACATTTTTCAAATAACTCCTATGCTAATGTCAGTCTTAGAACTAAATATTTTGATTTTGATTATTTTTGACTGCATTATTATTTTTGACTATTTTTGACTGCATTATTTTGAAGACTGCCTTAACTAGAGAAGTTTAATTTTCAAAAGCGTATTCATGAAACATTCCTGGAATAATAAGGAAATTTTCATTCCCAAATATAATCAAGATTCATAAATTAACTTCCTAATCAATTTGCTGTTTTTTTTTAATTTGATATCAATGGATGACATTTATCCCTTCATTCACACAGCAGCTGTGGAAGCATGTGCCAAAGACTTTGAATCAAGCATTGGGTAGCTGAATTGGAATTGTTCTATAAATGATTGATTAATCATTAATGTAACTGCAATGGATGTTAGGCATTAAAATTACAAATGCTGCATGTCATGGTTACTCATCTGGGTGCTGTTCCTAGAAATTGTGAAACATTTTATGCATGAAAATTATCAATAATTTTTATCAATCAGTTATGAATTCTAAATACTTTTATAGGAGTTTTTGGATTAATATTTTGAAAGCATCACTGCTATTAAATTTTAATAAAACCCTAAATCCTAATAACATCTAATTATTATTAAATGTACATTCTCAAAATCCTGCCCCTCTGATTTATTGAAATGAAGTACCGTCAACTGGGGCTACTCGGGAAGATTTTGAATGTTTTTCCTTCATAACTTCTTACCATGAAACATTTCATAAACAAGTTTAGGCTCATTTCAAAGCTCATTGCAAGGGCTATTGCATGGCTTCTCCAAAAAAATTCCATATGCTATTTGTAAGGTGCCAGAAGCAAAAAAAGAGTGTCCCAAGTAGCCCCGTCAAATGGGGCTACTCGGGACACTGGAATAAAACTTAATTTTAAAACATTTGAAGCATGCAGAGTGTACCGTAAAATGGGGTAACTTAGACCGGCGGGGTAACTTAGACCACTTTTCGTTTTTTTAACAAAAACCCCCACAACTCAAAAACTATTTGACATAGAAAAATTTTGTTGAATGGACAGACAGACGGACGGACATGGCAAGCACAATAGTGCATTTTTTCCATAAATGAGAAAATGTGTTTAAAAGATTGTGAAAAACATACCTGAAACAGAAAGGAATGTTTTAGTGACAACCATCATATGTTTTAGAGAAATAAATAGTAGTTTAGGTCAATTACTTTTCATTCTGTGATGCCTGGTGCACAATTCTAAACATGGCATTCTATGCACAATTTTGTGATGACCGATGATGCACTAATTTTTTGATAATTGAACTTTTTTTTTGCTCAGCAAGGTAAATGTTATCAATATTCTTTATTTTTAATCAATTTTTTTCTAACTGGAGCCTTTGCTAACTGAGGTTCTACTGTAAATGTGCTTTTGGGGGTGTCCCGAATAGCCCCGAGGGGGTGTGCCAAGTAGCCCTGCCATACGGAAATGACCGCCATTTTTTTTTTTAAATGAGATAGGCAAAATCTGTCAATTACGTTTTCAAGCCAACACCTGGGTGCAACTTTTATGTATAGTTTTTTAATACGGTGAATATTTTTTTTACTACGGACCTTAGCAGAAGTAACTTTTCAAAATATCATTTTTCACCATTTTTTTAGGAATTTATCAACGCTAGTGAATGTAGTATTTTTGAACTTCCTTTATATACTACATAGATAGGAAAAATGTTGACGTTTATGCCACTATAATTAGTTTTGCAATATTCCAATTAGTATTGCTACTAGAACAGTTTTACGCCGTGTCGAAGGACTGTCCCGAGTTACCCCGCCCGTCCCGAGTAGCCTGGGTTGACGGTAGTATTTTTGAACTTCCTTTATACTACATAGATAGGAAAAATGTTGACGTTTATGCCACTATATTTAGTTTTGCAATAGGTATTCCAATTAGTTTTGCTACTAAAACAGTTTTACGCCGTGTCGGAGGACTGTCCCGATTTACCCCGCCCGTCCCGAGTAGCCCCGGTTGACGGTACTGTACCTACTTCCAGCTTTCTGAGCTTTGTAACAATGAGTACCAGTACCTGTATCGTCTAAGAGACACAAAATGTTAGAAAACTCACGATGGGAAATGAAATTCAACAGCTCTGTTTTGTTTTCTGTGGTGTCTGAAGTGATGTTGTTTAGACAATATCAACAAAAACATACAAAAAAATTTATATAACAAGACCATTTTGCTTAATTTTAGAGGCAATTATGCATGTGATTACATTATTTTACCATTGTTATCAAAACAGTACAATTATAATGCAATCTAACATGGGGGCAGTCTTTGTGTAGGATTTGTGTATTTTAGTTTATAAAGTTTGTATTCATCTTTTGTGCACAAACTCTGATACTAGGTCATTAATTTGAATTGTTTACACCAATTTTGTATTTTAGTAGAGAATTCATGTTACTACTGCTCAATTTCCTTTTCAATTTCATTAGACTCAGAATTGAGACTGCAAATTCCAAGACATCATTGTGCCTGATATTTTTCAGACTAATATTACATATTTTTCATAATATTATTTGTTCAGACTAATATCAAACTAGCTTGACCATATTTGTATTACAGTTAATCTTCCATGAAACGTGTGAGTTACTGAAAAAGTGTTGAACTATGGCTAAATCGCAAAGAAGTAAACGTGAAAAACAAAAAGATTTTGTTAAGAAGAAAGTCAAAGTTGGCAAGACTTTGCAGAAACCTCAGAATGAAACCATTACCACCTTCAAGACTCGGTCAATCCTCATTCTTGAACAGCTAGCAGAAAAGGAAGCTGGTTCAAATGTCACTAAAAAGCGTTATACTCTATCGGTGAGTACCGGTATCCATAACCATGGGTTGTTACTAGTGATTTTTTCTAATTTTATAATTTGATTACTTGGCTCCATTCAGCTAGTATATTAATTGAACGCCTTTCTTGATTTAACATCATTATTCACTATTGAATAGCAGTGCCTGTCTCATCACACGGTAATGACAATAATCAGCATTAATTATGTATGTTAGCAATGAATAATCATATTTGGCTCTATAATTGAAATGATCATATCATTTATTGCGAAATACTCAGATTTGCCTGATAGGTATGCTTTAGGATAAAATTATGTTAGAAGCAGCATGACTAATGTGAGAGTTTTCAGGAATTGTGCTCCAGACTTGGTCAGAAGAACCCTAATCAGAAGTTGGACGCATGTCAGGGCATCAATGAACTCTTTGGGAAGTTGTCCAGTGAACAGGTGGGGAAGAGGTTAGATTATTATTATAATTAACATTATTGAATGTTGGATTATTTGCATTTATATCTGCATTTGAAGACTAGAGTTTTGGGTAAAAAAAAATTGTTTTATTTTGAGACTAATCAACATGAAGAATTACCTACTGACCTCGATTTACTCAGTCTGAGTCAACCAGACTGATTGATTCATTTGCATCTATTTCCAGCAAGTGAACAGTAGATTTTTTTTTGCCTGCTCCTAATCTTTTGTTTTTGGTCCCAATTGTAGTTTTGCTCACCATTTCCCACAATGACTGAATTAATGAATTCATGCATGGTGTTGAGAGACCTACTTAGTGTTATGCACCTGATCATTGAAGGGATTAATTGAGCAATATTGAGGCTAAATCTCAAGCTAAATAACGATTGATTAAGAAAATTTTGATATTTTCTACTGTCTACTAAACATAAAATATTTATGAACTTTTGGTCTTGTGCACTATTAATTATTTCATTCAGTTATTACATACCTACATTAATTATTAGTACCATAGTGAGAGCTCTGAACCAATTAAGAAGTGGTAACCATTTTCTGAAAACTTGTTTAATTCTCCAGACACGTCTGGGTCTATCAAGCCTCATGCCTGCCCTGTGTCCCTGCCTGCTGGACGATGACAGCAAAGTACGGACAACAACAATCCAGTTGTTTGAGCTGCTCATTGACAAGGTAATGATCACTGGCAGTTATTTGAGCTGCTCATTGACAAGGTAATGTTTGCCTGTTGATCTCAGCTATCATCAGTGTCTTGATTAAAGCTACAATTTCACGAATTGTAATTTCCTTAATTTATTGTAAGATATTCATGAGACTGATTTCCACCTACTGGAATATTTCTACATATTTGCTGCAGTTTATTGTATTATATTATATATAATTTCGTCATTATTCGTGACAAACTTGATGTTAGTTTAAACTAATTGTTTTAAATTGCTTTAAAATTTTACTTCGATTATGGCCAGTGACTTTCTTACCTGCCACAGTAACCTGTTACCTGCACACTGCCACGGTAACCTGTTACCTGCACATGACAAGGTAATGATCACTGGCAGATGTTTGAGCTGCTCATTGACAAGGTAATGATCACTGGCAGATGTTTGAACTGCTCATTGACAAGACAATGTTAGCTTGTTGAGCTCAACTTTCATCAGTGCCTTGATGAAAGCTATAATTTTAGGAATTGTAATTTATTTAATTCGTTTTAAGATATCCCTGAGACTGATTTCCACCTACTGGAAGATGTCTACATAGTTGTCACCATTCATTATATTATTTATTACCTGTATAATTACTAATTGTGTAGAATTGCTTTAAATTTTTATTTAGATTATGGCCAGTGACTTTCTCAACCGCCACGGTAACCTGTGACCTGCACAACTGCCACGGTACCTATAAACGCTCTTACCTGTTGTATAATTCTGTCTATTGTCCTACTGACGCACCTGTATCGTGCAGGTGGGCTGCAGCAGCATGCGGTCACACTTCACGCTGCTAGGTCGTCACGCTTCATGTGGTCTCTATCGTGCAGGTGGGCTGCAGCAGCATGCGGTCACACTTCACGCTGCTAGGTCGTCACGCTTCATGCGGTCTCGTCTCCCTGCACAGCGACGTGCAAGCCTCAGCCCTGCAGCTGCTGCACGTGCTGCTCAGGAAGACGCCGCAGCTGCTGCCCCTGCACGCCCCCACCATCCTGCCTAACCTCCTCAGGCTCCTGGGGGCCAAGGTCGGCTATTTATACTTTATTATTCATTGGGCTATTTACACCTGTCATTCGTGCAGTATTTTTCTGAATTCGTACAGGTTTTTTCTGAATTCATGTAGGGTTTTTCTGAAAAATTAGAGGATTGTTGTTTGAGTGCCAAGGTAAAAGCAACTTTATTAGAAATGCAGTTGTTTTCTCTCAGAGATAGCTTCAGACTTGTTCTGGGAGTGCCTTCATAAATGAAAGTGTCTTGAATGACTGCTCTTTCATTAATGATAACTAGTTTGTTGCAAGAAGACAGCATTCATTGTTTCTTGATATATACAAGGTAATGATCCATTCTCAAAGATAACATTCATCTTCAATGAAAAAATTATCAAAATGAAATGCCTGTTTCGGTTGAAGTAACTGCTTTGATGCTAGTTTCATTTCTACAGGTAATTATTCAGTTTATTGCACATATGTTTTTTATTGTAGGAAAATTCTACTTTTCATTTAGGTGATGCAAAGCATGAGAAGTTAAGCTTAGTTGCTGACACTTGAAGTTGTGAAATCGAGTAATAGAAAACAGGTTTTCTGAAATACAGCTATTAGTTTTCTTAAAGTAAATTTGCATGCACTCTTATGACTTATGTTATCTACAATTACTTATTAAAAAATTCTCGTGTACACAGACAAAGAGCGGAGTGTCTCTTCAGAAAGTCTTCACGGAGGGCATAGGAGGTAACCTCTCAGTACCGAACCCTCTCAAAAAGCTGAACAACTCCACAAATGATAAGAAAGACAAGAAAGATAAGAAAGAGAAAGCAAGTAAAGGTGAGGAGGACATGGTTGTGATGCCTGGCGAGATGAGCAGCAAGCACAACAGTTTGCTGTGGCAGCTCGACGTGCTGGTGCTCGTATCAGGACTCCTGCAGCACCACACCAGCAGGAGTGTCGACTCCAGACCCATGGGGCGCTGGCAGGTGAGAACCATCTTAATTATGGGGCGCTCCAATCATACTATTATCGGAATAATACAGTAAAGATTAATTATTTTTCACGTAAGTTAATTATTTCATTTAAATACACTCCTTAAAAGTGTGCTCCTATATATATAAGTGTGCTCCTGAGTCCTGCAGCACCACACCAGCAGGAGTGTCGACTCCAGACCCATGGGGCGCTGGCAGGTGAGAACCATCTTAATTATGTCCTGGTGTAATCATACTATTATCAGATTAATACAGTAAAGTTCAATTATCTTTTATGTTAGGGCATTACTATTAATTTCACAGGTGAGAACCATGTTACTTATGTCGAGGTACAATCAAACTATAATCAAAATAATGCAGTAACTTTTAATTATTTCATTTAAGGTAATTATTTCATTTAAATATACTCCTAAAAGTGTGTTCCTATATATAAGTGTGCTTTTGCACGACACCAGAAGGAATGTTGACTCAAAACCGATTGGTCGGTGGATGGTCAGAAGCTTGTTAATTATATGGTGTAATCAAAGTAGTATCTTAATGTATGTAGTAATATTCGAATATATTGTCATATTAGGCTAACGCTCTTGATAACGCAGCAGAGTTAAAGTTATGTTTTCACTAACGTTGAATTATTCAATGGTAAAGTTAGGGGAGCATTTCTATCTAACAACTTTTGGTGCTATTAACTGTAAGAAATACGTTTTTTTTTAATCTACCATTAACTATTTGAAGATTTTTGCAACATTTGTTCGTGTCAGTATAATTTTTCATGAATTTGCTTGATGTTTATATTTCGAAATTGGAAGTGCCAAATGGTTAAGGATTTCAGAGTTACGTTGAAAAGAGACAGAGATACTCAGGGCAGTAGAAGTTCTGCAAGAGCGTGCTGAAGGCAGTAGAAGTGCTACATTAGTTATTTAAAAGCTTCAGTTATGCTAGTATAGGAGTTATAGTTACTGGATACGTGTTATGAGGAAAGTAGTAGTGCACACATGTACTTCAGTAGTGATGTAATGATGTCTGCACAGATGTATCTACGGTACTAGTAATTTTATGTACTGAAATTGACAAATGTACTCAATATGTTGGTTGTGATGTACTGAACTTAACGCATGTACTGAATATGTTGGCTATGCAGATGTTGCTGGAGAGCTGCCGGACGACCACCACAGGGGCGGGGGGCGGCATGGGGGCGCTGGGGGACGGCGTCGCCCACACGTCCAGCGCCTCGCTGCTGTGCCACCCCACCAGGCTGAGGACTGTCTGCCTCACTGTGATGACCATGGTGCAGTCGCTGTGGTGCAGCTTTGTGCCTCACACCACATCTAAACAATCAGGTTAATGTTAGGTTATGGTGACTGTGCCTGACTGTGATGACCATGGTGCAGTCGCTCACTAATGATGCTGTAAATATTTATTGTGTTGTGATGATGATGTAAATATTTATTGTGATGTGATGATGATGTAAATATTTATTGTGTTGTGATGATGCTGTAAATATTTATTGTGTTGTGATGATGCTGTAAATATTTATTGTGATATTTTCTTGTCTATGATTGGTGGATTTTGCTTGAAAGGCCGTCAATGATTGGCTGATGAACTTACGATCTCTTAACTTTTTTTTGAAGGTATGGCCCCTGGTGTGGAATGATTTGAACTGTGCTCCAAACCCCATTGATATTTTTATATTTTGAAAGCATCACTGCTAGTAAATTTTAATAAACACCTAAATCCTAATAACATCTAATTATTATTAATGGTACATTCACAAGTTCTCAAAATCCTGCCCTTCTGCTTTAACAAAATAAAGTCATTCTAGCTTTGTAAGAATGAGTACCTGTATCTTCTAAGATACCTACACAAAATATTAGAACACTCACAACAGCTCTGTTTTGTTTTCTGTTTTTCTTTCCTGAAGTAAAGTTGATTAGACAAAATCAACAAAAGCTTCAAAAAAAAAATATGCTGCATGTTGTGATGTGCTGCATGTTGTGATCCAACACTGCCATCAGAGCTGGGCAGCGCTACTTTGAATTGTAGCGGGCGCTACCGCTACCGCTACAATTGCTTAAATGTAGTGCCGCTACCGCTACTGAAAATGTAGCGGCCGCTACATGTAGCGCGCTACTGCCCACTTCTGGCTACCATATATTTATCCTCACTCACCGAATTTATCCCCCGTTGATGTAACACCGCCATATATTTATTCATATACTCACTAAACGTATCCCCCGTACAACAGGTGGCGTGGTTCCACGCCCTGACCGTAGAGGTGTTCGGTNGGCTACCATATATTTATCCTCACTCACCGAATTTATCCCCCGTTGATGTAACACCGCCATATATTTATTCATATACTCACTAAACGTATCCCCCGTACAACAGGTGGCGTGGTTCCATGCCCTGACCGTGGAAGTGTTCGGTGCGCTGTTGTCCTGCCACTTCCCCTTCCACTACGCCGACCTCGCGCACGGCGGCAAGGCAAAGAACAAATGCACGTACGAAGCTCGGCCGCAACTGTCCTGTGATGACCTCAACATCAACGTCGCTACAGTCGCCGTACAGTTCAGACTGTTTGATGCGAGACACAGTCACTCCTTGGTGCAGTACATTCAGGGTGAGTCAGAGCTGACAACACCTACACAGTCACTCCTTGGTGCAGTACATTCAGGGTGAGTCAGAGCTGACAACACCTACACAGTCACTCCATGGTNTAGATTACAGTACGATGACAAAATTAAGTACAAATGGACTAGAACAGGTACAAGAGGAAATATTGCTTCTAATTTGTTAGGGTACATAGTATGAAATAAATGTGTAAACTTAACCCTTACCTACCCAGCATGTAGGTAATACAAAGGGAGATGAGTGATATACATCATTATAAGTACAGTTTGTTGAGGTATACTTGGGGCATCTTACACTAAAGGTAACAGTTCATTATTTATAATGAATCATTATACAAGAGACTAGTCAATGAACCTGGCCACAGCCTACAGTTCATTAGGCCTGTCTCTTATACACATCTAGATGTGTATAAGAGACAGTCAATAAACACAACAAATAATATAGAATAACTTCGGCACATTAACACTTCAACACTTCATCTTGGATGCATGGCTTTCGAGACTAACTCTTGACTCTGAGATTTGAGATTTGAGATTTGAGGCTTTCCTACAAAAGAAATAAATAAAACAGATAAATAATAGTTACCTAAACATTAAAGTATTCATACATATATAACCCAAGTATTTACACAATTTGTTCACATCAATCTATTCCCGTATATATTTACATGTCCACATCCTAACGCAGCACATACCTCCGCTCCGGCTTTCCACAGCAGAATAATCTTATTACCTTCTCCTTCCGCACTTATAGCCTTCCGTAAACTCCAAACTACAATGACAAATTCAAAATAATAGACCATTTTGAAACAAAAAATATCACCTCGCATAACATTAAAATACCCAACTATTTCTATCCTTTACAACGCTCTGTTTTCTTGTCTATGATTAAGTGAACGTAAGTACTTACGCTCTGTTTTCTTGTCTATGATTAAGAGAACGTAAGTACTTACGCTCTGTTTTCTTGTCTATGATTGATGGATTTTGCTTGAACGGCCGTCAATGATTGGCTGATGAACTTACGATCTCTTACCTTTTTTGAAAGTATAGGCCCCCGGATAATAACTCTTATTATACTCGTAATTATATATATGTTTTCTATTTAGTTCTGTTATCAATGTAACATAATAAAATTATGCCTGCTGCTCATCGAATAAAACAAAATTAGTTTGTTATTATTATTATTATCTGCTATTATTGTGTTATTATTATTATTATTAATAATAAACTTAGTTTCTTATTATCGTTCGTGTTTATTAGCAACTTTCTGATCCTCTTCATTGACTGTTGCTCCGCTTTTTATAATAATTAGAAAAATATATATTATTCTTATTGCCGTTTTACATGTTTTTTTTCTGTGAACGCAAATCGTGGGAAGTATTTCTGCTTAACAACGATCATCGAGTAGGATCAAATGTTAGTATTGCAATTTAATAGATAATCTTCTTCACTAAACTTGCGTTCTTCAGACGTTTAGTGGTATTAGTTGTAATCTTATGCAGAAATTTCCTCTATCAAAATGATTTTTCCTTGCTTAGCAAGACAAGGAATAACTCACTTGATGACTTGTTGTGAGGACTTTACTATTAGTACACTATGTAACTATGTAATAACTGTAGCACTGTACATTACTATGGCACTGTACAATAAGTATTACTCCTGCTGTACACGAGCAGGTTGTGCAGTGTTCAGCGATAACTGTACTACTCTAGCACTGTACACTACTCTAGCACTGTACACTACTCTAGCACTGTACACTACTCTAGCACTGTACACTACTATAGCACTGTACACTACTAGGCACTGTACACTACTATAGCACTGTACACTACTGTAGCACTGTACACTACTCTAGCACTGTACACTAAGTATTACTCCTGTACCCCACCAGGCTGTGCAGTGTACAGCGATAACTGTACTACTGTAGCACTGTGCACTACTATGGCACTGTACACCGACTATTACTGCACTGTACACTACTGTAGCACTGTACACTACTATAGCACTGTACAATAAGTATTACTCCTGTACACGAGCAGGCTGTGCAGTGTAGAGCGATGGTGCGAGGTGCTGGTAGCAGAAGTGGTGCACCACACGGCCGTGTTGCCAGGCTCGCTGCTCACGGCGCTGCACGGCCTCCTGCTCACCGGCTGCCCTGGCGCTGCTATTCCTGCTCACCTGAAGTCCCTGGCTTGTGGTGAGCTTATGGTGTGCCAAAATATAGTGAATGATTTAGTGTATATTGATATGAACTTATGGTTCACATCGATATAGGTACACTTATAGCTTAAACACTTGTAGCTTATACACTTACAGCTTATACACTTATAGCTTATACACCTATAGCTTATACACTTATAACTTATACGCTTATAGCTGGTTAGCTTATAGTGTTTCAAGAAATGATGAATCATTTAGTGTATATTGATGTGAACGTATGGTTTCCATCAATATACACCTATAGCTTATAGACCTATAGCTTATACACTTATATACACTTATAGTTGGTAGCTTATAGTGTTCCAAAATATAGTGAATGATTTAGTGTATATTGATGTGAACGTATGGTAGTGAACGCCATTGTATACCATTTCTTGATGCGAGTGTATATTGTAAACAATATAGTATATCTTGATGTGAATATACTTGTAAATAGTGAAGATATCTTATTTCTCGATGTGGCCGTATGTATTGAAGGAATTCGTATTTATTGCTACGAATGTACGTATATAGTGTACGATGATGATGTGAATCATAATCAATAATTAAATAATCTTTTCATCTCTTGATGCAAACGTGTATAGTAGACGATTAAGTTGCCTGCTTGTCTTAGTTTTCTCTATGTTTCCGAATATTTGCTAGTAGGTATCACTTTCAGTAAGTGTGTTTAGTAAATGAAAGAGCGGTAGTACATTCATGAGTGAATTCATTTTATCATAACATGAGTGAATAAGTATCATGTGAAAACTCGTACGAGTGAAAACTCATGTTTCTGAATTAATAAATTCATTTTATCATAACATGAGTGAATAAGTATCGTGTGAAAACTCATACGAGTGAAAACTCATGTTTCTGAATTAATAAATTCATTTTATCATAACATGAGTGAATAAGTATCATGTGAAAACTCATACGAGTGAAAACTCATGTTTCCGAATTAATAAATTCATTTTATCATAACATAAGTGAATAAGTATCGTGTGAAAACTCATACGAGGGAAAACTCATGTTTGTGAATTAATAAATTGTGTGTTTGCCCTCAGAAAATATTTTACGCGAAGGGCGAGACTGGTCGGAGCGCGACAAGTTGGTCCTCGTTAAGCTCATCAGCAGATAATAAAACTGATCAATTGTCTCTCTTTTTCTTTGGCCTCTAACTTGTTGTGAATTATTGTAATATTGCAGTGATATATATTATAGTATTACGTTGATATAAATCATAATATTAGATTGCATTATCTCACGCGTGTGTCTGGGAGCCTGAGACATAGATAGTTCAGTAAAGTTCTTCTAGCAATTTTCTGCACAGTAAAAAAATTGAAGTAGTGCTTGAGCCTTCAGGTAAAGGTTAAAAATATCGTGGAATTGCGGAAATATTTTGAATTTTATATCGTCCTCACAATTTCAATAGAAGTATACAATTTTTATGTTTAAATTAAGTTCCCGTACTAATTCCTTAGTTGATAAAAACTGGCAGAGTTTTTCGTTCAATGTACAGGTAATAATTTGATCTATGATGTTTTACATAGATGAAATGGATAATACTGATATTATATTCTCGAATATTCAAAAATTTTAATCGACTTTGAAATTTGAATGCTTTTTCAATTTTTACGACCAAGCTATTTTTTATGGTCTTATTGAAAGTGAGAGCATGTAAAGGCTACTGCCTGGCATCTAATTCTCCCTTAACCACGGGAGTTGTTCATTAATGTTAAATACTGTAATAATGCTCACTTCCGCCGCTTTCTACTATTAGTCGTGATAAGAAAAATATGTTCATTCGTTGCGACTAAGGTGGAAGAATCATCTCGCCCCTGCTTTGTGCTTCCAAACTACGAAAAAAGCCGTAAAAAGTTGTGACCAGCATTTCTGTAGTTACCAAAATTGAATAAACAGTTGCGAAACGATGTATTCTCACGGTGCAGCTGGCCACTAGAATGTTCTATTATTAACTGTTACTATCACTGGGCCACCCTGCCTGTGACCTGGTCCACCACAATGGTCCGTGTATTTTTCTGAGCTGAGGACGTTAAAGTTACGTCGACAAAAACGTCTTGTTATGAATGCACCCTGGCTACTAGATATTTATAGGAACCTTACGCTAAATCGCACTTTTTTACTTTTGTTTGGAAAGTTTAAATAATAATAAACTGCGTTGCAATAATACGGTTCACTTCAGTGATGCAGGCGCCCAAATGCAAGAAAGCGGTGGTTACGTTCACAGTCTTCGTGCTCTGAGAAGAGGATGACGTGCCGGGCTGCAAGTACAGCTCGACCCAAGAGTTCAGCACGTATTTGGAGAATTCGTTGTACTTTGAAAAAAATTAAGCCACATGACATAATCGCTTTTCATCTCCGTTGAAATTCAAAAATAACTTACTTAACAAATTTCGGAGCAGTTCAAATTAATGTATCACAAAAAATAATCTATTCTCCATGATATATGGTCACTTCATCTTATAAATCTTTGTTAATTAATCGTCTAAATCAGTAGTTCCCAAAGTGAAATCGCCCGTCTGGGGGCGGTGGAAAGATCTGGGGGGGGGGCGGTGAGGAAGAAAGAGGCTGTAGGTAAGTACCAGTCATTACCCACACAGTTAACCAACAGGATTGTAAATGAAAGAGACTGGAACTGAAATTTTACTGCAAGGCAAATTAAGAACAAGGTAGGCTTTGAATATAAGTATCAAGATGGAAAAATAGTGTAAAGAACAATACCCTTGGCACCGTGCGTATCTATCTAAAAGTATAAATCTAATGAATGATCGTCGTTGAAGATGAATAAAGAAATAATAATACAATATAACAATTATTCAGACAATAAAAAGGAACCTAGTAGAGTTTAAACTATCCTGCAGCGGGAATCAGCCGAACAATAATGACTTAACGAGAAAATTCTGTGCGCAACCTTAACTTTCTAACGGTGTTGCCAAGGTAAAGGTAAATTATAATTTTATTGCAAAATAAAAGTCGCAAAATGTCTTAACACTACAGAGGGGCTTCTTTTCTTTAGTTGGAATTTATGGGAGCCTCTGAAGACTTGTTCAATGCGGCCCCACGTCAGAACAGTTCAAGGAATTTGACTGAATTTTGTTTTAAGGTACAATATTGGGTGTCTTGAAAAAAAAATCGAGATTTCTCAATGGCTGAAGGGTTGCAGAACGGGGCCACCAAAGTGGAGACCACACCGGGGCGGAGAGCACCACTCCAGGGCAGAAAGCCCCACTCCAGGGCAGAAAGCCCCACTCCAGGGCAGCCAGCCCCACTCCAGGGCAGCCAGCCCCACTCCAGGGCAGATAGCCCCACTCCAGGGCAGATAGCCCCACTCCAGGGCAGAAAGCCCCACTCCAGGGCAGATAGTCCCACACCAGGCCCTGGAACCTGGGGACACTAACCACTCACCTGGGGACACTAACCACAACCTGGGGACACTAACCACTACCTGGGGACACTAACCACACGCCTGGGGACACTAGCCACTCACCTGGGGACACTAACCTCTACCTGGGGACACTAACCACTACCTGGGGACACTAACCACACGCCTGGGGACACTAGCCACTCACCTGGGGACACTAACCACTCACCTGGGGACACTAACCACTTGTAAGACGTGGGAATGCTAGCAGCGCGGTATTGAGTCCCTTAAGGTCTGTGACTCGTGCCAAACGTTTGGTTGTACCAAACGCCCTATGGTTCGGCTAAGGCGTGTAAGTCAGAGACCAGACTGCGCTAGCGTCTTACAATTGTGTTTCGTATTCGGGAATGAAACACAGTAGGAGTTCTCCTCATTTACTGGAACTAGGTCTGGAGACCAGGTTACGTGCTGTATTACAGATTTGTAAATGATTATGACTACAGGAGTTACTTAATATTGCAATGTCTTAGGTAGGTGCTTATATCATAAATAAATAGCTAATTCATATTTAACAGTATTTCAATTGAAGTTGATAACTAATTATGATTTCTAAGGCAATGACATGAATAATTATATTGAGTTAGCGTTGATGGGTAACTCTACTAGAATTCACTAGGCTAGCAACGTTCCTAGAAAATGAGTGTCGGGGGTAACTTGAGGAAACGTATATACATGGTCGCTACACACTCACCTGGGGGCACTAACCACGAACCCGGGGGCACTAACCACACATGGAGGCATCTTTAAATCTTAGTAACAAATTTTGCAGTTAGTAGATGCCGAGAGCATTTATAGGTGTTCAGGAGTTAAAAATCACTTTATAGCTGGTCGTACCATTCGCCGGCTCAACGCCTCGGAGCGGGACAGCACGGCATTTTCAAAGTTTGAGGAGGATAGTTCCAGAAAGATGACGTAGCAGCCGGCCGAAGCCGACTACTGTCACGGGAGCTCAGCACAAACAACCTCCTGCCTCAACGGTTAGAACAGAACTCTACAGGGGGGGCTGCAGTCCGCGAAGTCGAAGTCAGAAGTTCGTACGTTTGTTTGACGATTTGTACACAACACATGCAGAACATGACTCCGACTCGAATAAATTTTCACGAGCTAAAAGTCACCGTTTGGTAATTAGAAATTTATATTCGAAATTTCGTTCAATCTGTTCAGTAGTTTGGAAGAAATTCTTTGATCATTGCGAATTTCCACCCGTATCGCCATATAACTCCCGAATGAAGGTGAAATTTAAAAATTTTCACGAGCTAAACATCACCATGCATTAGGTCCTAGTTAATACGTGTTCCAAGTTTCATCAAGCTGCGTTCATTAGTTTGGGAGATATTCCTCGGTCACTGAATTTGGAGATTGGCCGTGAGACCGGCTACGAGACCGGCCGTAAATTTGTCGGAGCCGTCTCGAATTTCTAGTGCTGAAACAGTTAAAACTGTAAAAATATATATTGGTATACTAAATGGGGTTTTATTTGTTAAACACACATTTGTGTTTAACCTTTCTCTTTTAACATTGCAGCGTACTAAATATCAAGAAAGACGCGTTTGTTTTTATTTGTGTCTGTGGAGGGGGGGGGGTGGCGCTAGATATTCATTGGGGAGCCAAAGGGGGCGCCAGCCTGAAAAAGTTTGGAAACCACCGAGCTAGATGTATGAGCCTACTCATGAACTAGATGTATGAGCCTACTCATGAACTAGATGTATGAGTCTACTCATGAACTAGATGTATGAGCCTACTCATGAACTAGATGTATGAGCCTACTCATGAACTAGATGTATGAGCCTACTCATGAACTAGATGTATGAGCCTACTCATGAACTAGATGTATGAGCCTACTCATGAACTAGATGTATGAGCCTACTCATGAACTAGATGTATGAGTCTACTCATGAGCTAGATGTATGAGTCTATTCATGAGCTAGATGTATGAGTCTACTCATGCGCTAGATGTATGAGTCTACTCATGAACTAGACGTGTGAGATTACTTACCATACACGTATGAGCGCACATCCAAAATCTAATCTAGTCCTACTTAAATTTGTTTGGCAGCTTTTTTGTGCAAAAAATCGAGCCGAAACATTCGCTCATAATGAGGCAGTTCCCTCACAACTCCGAACTATTCCACACGTAGGCCAAAATAATGATTTTTCCCTTAACACGTTGACTTACGTATTGGTACATATGCGTACCACGAAATGTATTTCTCCAGGAGGTAGTGGTACAGAATTCAGGTTGCCTAAAATCGGCCAAATCCGAGAACAAAAAAGGCCAAAAAAGCCGATAATTCAATGTATACTAGTTTATTTGTAGGTTCCGCTATAAAAATTCCATTTATTTTCTTTTTGCAACATTTGAAATTATTTAAAATTTAATAAGGAAGTACCCCTATCATAAATATTAGCCGGCCAACGCAATTGAGAAAAACTAAATCACGGAATTTGTCCGGAAAAAATGACCGTCTGGCAACCCTCTTAAAAGTACAAAAAAATGAAATAATAGTACAATATGAAGCAATCATAGTCAACGTGTTAAGTCATTAACTCGATAATGTTCCTATTGTCAAGGGAATAGATATGTTTTTCCATAACAGTAAAATTTAATTGCGTATCATTTAAAAGTTCTTTTGTGTTGTGATCACTTACCAGCTTTGTAGTGATTAACTTTTGTAGCTGATCTGAAGAAATGCAAATTAAAACAGCAATCAATT